AAMKRKTWATTCCCTTGAACAGTTCAATGAATCGTTAAAGTATAACACGATACCAGCAGGTAATAGTGACATCTTCATATGACCCAAAACTTGTTACAACATTTTTGACATGCATAAATCATGTRTTTSTGRTAAATATTCTCACAAAGCCTAACCACGGGTCAAATCAAACGAAGTCGKGYACTAAAACAGGTAAGATAAAAATATGTCATGTTATTATTTTTCCTTAAAAAGTGATCATAATTATATTTTTTCCATTTTCTTACAACGATATTATCAAACACCAAGAAAAGAGAGCGTTTAATGTCAAACTTCATAGTAATATATATGATATAAATTCAGTGAATTGAATGCGCGATTTTTGCAAAAATATGTGTAAAAGAAAAAAAAACAGATTTTAATCTTTATAAAAATTATTTATTGAATCGAATCATCGATGTTTTGATCGTTCCCCAAGTTTTTTATATTTTGTTTACAAAAATATTACATAAATTTATTTTATCAGGTAAATAGAGTGATAGACTAATACACTTTAGTAGACCCTAATTCCATTGTTTTCTTTTGTGTCTTTTTGACTATTACATGTTGACTAGTATTTTTTATTTCAGGGGTTAATTAAATGCCTTCGCCCTATTAATTTCTTTCTTAAGTTTTGTCAATCTTATTTCATTTTATTCGTCTTTATTGATTGCCGAAGAAAAAGTCTTCTGGAAAAACACTGGAGAAATTGGTCATCCACGCATAGTTTTCGTACAATTTCTAGTATATTGTATTTTTATATTTCTTATTTTCCCAAGCTATTCTTCTAAGTTTACAAACTTGAACCAGTAAGGATGAAAGGCATTWTCTTGGCCATCTTTACAGTGGTCCTCGTTGGACGACTGTGTGGTAAGTAGTTTTATAATTTTTCAGACTCTTCACAAATGCCTCGTAACTATATAATAGGCCCTTTGAAGTTAACGGTCACRTGTCTGTACTGGAGAGCAGAATTTTAGCTACCTGTAAAAAACTGAATGAAACGATGTGTATCCAGTGTGTTACCAARTGCAGTTTTATTACGATCTCTCGAAACAGGTTGTAGAAAGTGTGTTWGCTCTTCAGTAAATCTTCATCCATGGGAATCAAGATGTTCATTCATTTGCTCTCAGTAAATTAATCAGCACGTGGTTACTGAGCTGCAAAGGGCCTATTGACGGATTGGCTAACTAAGGATGTCTTCTTTTAACATATTAAAATCAAGACAAGTTGAAAATATTTGATGTGCAATGAAACGTGGGATCTTTCGTTTCTTACTCGTATCACATAAACTAGTGACGTAATGGTGCTAACGATATCCTTTCCATCGATGCTTTAAAATGGCGTTTTTCTTATAACGTTTTCCCGCAAAGGATAAGATTAACTGGACTTGCGTGTAAATCAGATATATATTTCGTATCTAGTTTTCCGAAACACGTCGAAGCATGGGTAAGACAAYAGTGACACAAGCAACGTGGCCAGCTACGCACGCGCATGACAATTTTAAGGGTGAATTGAATTGAATTGAAGTCATGTAAGGTTTCAAAACACGTCCCACATGGAAAGGAGTGCCTTTGCATGGTAAGACATGAGGGAAACAGGCAACATATCGGGCYTGCTGGTCATAGCAAGGGGTTAATCATCGACTACGGTCTAGGGGCCGACTTACCTCTCCCTTAGGCTTTGGCCGAGCTTCCTGATCAGTCTGTAAGTCCTCGGATAGCGGTGTCGGGGTCGAAATCTCCGGCGTAGCCGTAAATGCTTCGCGCTGCCATACGACGGTTYAGCACTCGATGTCTGGAAGTATGGTCCTACATTAATCAATAAAAATAAGACAAAATTAAACCAATTTAGGAAGGACAAGAGGAATCTCTGAGTTTCTTGCACAGCCCCAATGCAAAAGTACTATAGCAACCAGTCACGTGATATATTTTTCTGATTTCAGCGGCTTTTCCAAAGACTGCCACGAAAGTTCGTTCTTCGTTAGAACCTGGAAAGGAATTGAAAGAAGTAAAGTATGACCAGGAATTGGTGTCATCATTCGAATGGAGAGAGCTATTGGAACATATTCCTGACAGCTTGTAAGTGTTCAAGTGCCGACGAACAGAGACTGSATCCTATTTTGTTTGATAATGCTCCTTTTCTGTTTTAGATTCCCAATTCTTGAAAAAATTCTGAAAGGAATCGCCAGATCCAGGAGTCCTGAAGATATTATTAAAGCAATCTTAACAAGGGACTGGAAATATCTGGGAGGGAAAAAGGATAAAAGAAGGCGAAGAAGAAAGAACAAGAAAGACAAGAAGAAGGAGGAGGAAGAAACTGAGAAAGAGGGGGAAACAAAAGAGCCTCAAGAAGAATAGATTCCCTCGACAAGGTATCTGTATCTTTAAAAAAATAAAAATACATAGCGTAAATGGGATTTAACAGTGGCATTTCCACGTAGTTATTCTTCATCCACTGAAAGCTAATTGAGATTCAAGACCCGGGACAGGTTTTACATCGAAATTCAAACCCGACATCAAACAATAGAGATAGGTTGGWTTTTAATACTAGGAACAATTCGTTTGCAATTTTCTGCCTTTCCCTACGAGACATAAATGTTAGTCAWATGTCAGAGGTTTTATCTGGACGATGGTGTGACACGGTGCGATCGATTCGGTGTGACACGGTGCAACAGATCTTTGTCAAGCGGCAGCCATGTTGGCGGGAGCAATAGATTTTTTGTCCATCTAGCCTCACATTCAAGCACTTCAGGATAGATTTAACCGAGCAGTCTAAACGAAGAGTTTATTTGTTGTAGGAACAAACATGTCAAACATGTCAAGCGTTAGAGTAGATAAGGTCATCATATCCTTGGGGGGGGGGGGCTTTCTATGGTCATGGCTGATCATGGGGTAGAAAGACACCATTTATTGTTCTGACATTTCAATATGCATCTGGACTTATTTTACTCCTCAGGAATGTGCCTGCACTAAAACCAGACGAACCAGTTTAACGATTAAAGGATCAGTTGGAATTAGCAACAGAATATGACCAAAGAAAAAATAAACGAATAATATTGAAGAGTGTTGTGTGTATATAAATAAATCTGTTCCTGCTAAATGCTGTTACGTATAGTCTGTATTGATCAATCACTTCAATCATACGCCGTTAACAAGATATATAATCTTTGGGGGAGGG